ATTATATGATTCAAACAAATGGTCCATTGTGTCCAGGAATTTTATATGGATCTATTCGTCTTCTTTCATCCTATTGTAATTGGCCTTTTATACTCGAACGACCCTTGGTTTTCCGACACCCTTTCAGCCTGTGGTTTTCGATCCAATACAGGGAAAATGCGCGCTTCCTTTCAGAGTGCCATTTCTTTAAAGTAAAAAAATGAGATGTGGAGAAATAAATATAAAAAAGAATGACGCGAATGACCTACTAATATTGTTTGATGTAGGTATAGAAATATAGATCGACACTAAAAGGGTAGTACAAAGCAGCAGCTGTTGTATTTGTAATTACGATGTAATCGTTAAAGCTAAAGTATAGGCTCTCACAGTATTATTATCTAACGGCGATTTTGTGGACATTGTTATAGTCCTTGTGTTTATGTTGATAGTCCCTTTTAGGAGCATAGGTAATTTAATTAATGCTGTGATTTAGTAACTACTTCAACGTGTTAACACTATATTACAGTCGTTTTAGCGGGCCATAAATTATAGTCGCAATATTGTGTCGTACGCATTTTGGTAGTGCACACATTAATCCACTTTTAGTCCTTTTCCAAATAGTCGAAGCTGAAATTGAAAATTGGAACTTACCAGTTGCTTCATATTTCACAGAAAAAATGTACCTACAGAATTCTGGGGCAACAATTTATTTCGTAACTCTATATAGTGTTATGTATTATGCAACGAGTGCGAAACAGTTCCTTTTCCTAGACGATTTTGTGCAAACAGCGAAATCTCTATTAAAATAGAAGTTACACTACACAAACAGGAAACTGCGACACGTGACTACACGTGATCTAATTAGTTAATCGTTGCAAATGCAAATGGGATATAAATGAAGCCAATTGACGCAGTAAATCGGAAATTGAAGCACATGCATACAGTTCATTCGTCACAGACTAATTATTGCTAGTGTAACTAACCTATGACGCAACCTTTAAAATTTTATAAGCTAAAACCACTAAACCTTTTTGTTCGTCTTATTATGTTATAAAAGAAAAGATTAATTTTCTCGATAGTATGCCTAGTATCAAAGTTGGTTGAACACATGGGGGATGTCGTGAGAGGGAAATTTGATATCTTTCACATGTGCTCATATGGGTCATTAACAAATGCAAGATATCACATTTCAATAGTGCTCAAAATCAAAGAATGTGCCAAGCAAACGATAGAGTAGGGAGTTTAAGGCTAGAAGATTAAATATACAGAATACACATATGGTCATTTGCGATTATCGGCGTAAGTGGGGACGCGTTCCGTCCAAGCTGGAGTTATCTACCCTAATTTTTATTGGCGTAAATTGTAAATATTGGAAGTAGTGGTTAGCAGGCTGCTGCAGCTGGCTGGTTTGAGAAGGTTGGAAGGCACTCAGTTTAGTGCATTGTGAACCCTTCTGTGAAATGGTCAAAGTTAAAAGCTTGTACCGTCTCAATTGCCACCGGTAATTCGTCATTTCATTCATCGCGTTAATGTTGTTTGTGATCAAGGTTTTTGTGTTAAAGAAAAGTGAGGTTCAAAAGTTATGAATTATGAATTTTGTTATGGTAAAGCCTATTTCTTAATATACTTATCACTTAATATGTTTGTGAAGCGAACGTTTCATTTCCTTTTAGCACCTACTAACAGTAATGTTGGGTCACCCTATGTGTCAAATTTCAATTATTTGTAACGTTAAAGGTGGTTGCTAATTTACAATGGTACACAATTTCGATCATATTTGTCGAGTTTGTTTAAATAATCGCGTTGTTTTGATTTTATTTCATGGCTAATTTAGAAAGATAAGGAACATTTGGAAATATTTGCGTTAAACGTTTTGTTAAAGTCAGCTCATGTTATCTCCGGTTATTGCGATAAGAGTGTTATCGCCGCGTAAAGCTAATTAATGTAGATAATCAGATGTGTTTCGCTGACGTAAACACAGATGTTAGTGATTCGACGACGCAGTAACGTAGGAAAATTAATTTTGTCTTCGCGCTCTGCCGAAAACCACCCTCATTTTCGGTAGCAAAGTGTGCGTTTACTTGTTGCGGGAGGTAAAGTAATCAAAAATTCCCTACGGGAGGTAAAGTAATTTTCATGGAAACGTAAATGCGTTGGTCTGCAACCTACATTCTGGCGTTTCAGAAATGTAGTTAATTTTGGGTATTTGATGTCCATATTTTTCCTCGCTGGTTTTTAACATCGAATACTTAGACCAAAACGAAGATAATCGTTTCTTTTTGATTTTGTGAACTTTTTTGGGTACCAAATTTGGCATCATTTGGTGTTTGTGTTTAATGAATATCACAGTTACGACCGGATATTTTGGTAATTAGGATTTCTTTAACTAATTGTTTCAATTGATCGCTTGTTATGTGGTAGTTCTACTCTGACCATGAGTGCCTATTTTGAATGCAGCCTTTTGCGTAATGAGTTTGTTTCATCTGTAAAGGTGTTTAAATAAAAATGTATGAGATAATTCTTTGGAATTAAAGTCTTATCAAGATTTTTCATAGTAGCGGGTGCTGGACGTACCCTAAAAAAATTATAAGAATTTCGTATAAAAGATTTTGTTATTACCTGGGTTTAATTAATTGAGCTGACTGGATATGTGTTTGTGGGTGGTTTAGTGACCGTTCGCCATTGCACATAGCAATACATAGTAAGTAATCATGCTTATATACAAATGTGCTTTATTTTTACTCATCTTCGTCATTACTCGACCTCTTGTACAGAAAATAATATAATTTACGGTTTCACTGCGAAGGTTATAACATTTTTTTACATGATTTCTGTGGAATGCATTTATCCACAAATTGTCAACTTTCTTATTTATGAATATATTTCTTTGAAATGCTAACCAACGGTGTTTTTGGCAAAACCAAACGTATCGCAAATTGTAAACATATTAGGTTAATGTGCGCATGCGCAGAATATCAACGCAAACATATTTCATATTGTAAACATTAGATGTGCGCATGCGCAGTACCAACTTCCTTATTTATGAAGTTATTTCGTTGAAATTTTAACCATAGATGCTCCTAATAAAGAAAAATATATCACATTTAGTCAAAATCGAAAACTACAAATGTCATTAGAAAAGTCAAACACATGGTATATGGTAAAAATCTAATACGCGCATGCGCAAGCTGCAAAATGCCAACTTTTCTACTTATGGAGATCTCTCTCTAAAATCTTAATCATAGACCCTTCTAGTAAAAAGAAACATATCGTGTATACCATATAACTTACATTAAATGTGCGCTTGCGCGAACTGCGCAACGTCAACTTTCTTATTTATGAAGATAATATTTTTACTTTACTATAGATGCCTCTAGTAAAGAAGAAAATAGGGCACATAGTTATGGCCTTTTGGGAAGTACTGATCATTGCATGGAAAATGCGCTGAAGTTACTCGTTTTAGGGCGAATACCTTTTTATTTGTTTTAACATGAATCCTAGTGACAGGATTGCACGATGAAGACTCAGTAAAATATGCTTTTGCTTTATCGACCTTGTCATATCCGTGTATCTTCGTTTCGATCACAAAACATATGTAGTACTCGTAGTTTTCTTTACCGGGACAGAACTCTTCAAATTGCAAACTAGAAGCCATTTTCCTCGTCGCCAAATGTAGTATGGTAGAGCAATAACACGTCACGTTAATAGAAAGAAGTAGATAGAATTAAGAGAATTTTATCTTTTTAAACATGAATACATTATTTATTAACGATCCACGAGAATTTTTTAGGGCTGTCTGTCTGTCCATCTGTCCGTGTGCACGATAACTTTATTTAGAAACGTCCGATCGCTTTAAAAATTGGTACACATGTTCTTAAGGACGTAAGAAAGGTCGCTATTGTTTTTCAGTTACGTAGACTAACGGACCAAAAAGTTACAGTCCAAAAACTGCCCGAACCTCCAAAAAAGGGTACCTATCTTTCATAATTCTTGTTACAAAGAACATATGAATGTGCGGTTTTCTGTGTCAGTAAATATTCCTTAAACCTCAAGCAACTATGCAGATGCAAAAAATATTGCGCATGCGCATTCCAACTTTTGCATTTGCGCAAACAAATTTTTGTATTTGTTAAGATATTTAAATGTAATTTTGTAGGTATGTAGGCATTTCGAATAAAAGGAAATCTAATGCCTCTTAAAAAAATGTGTTTTAAAAGCTATACTGATCTGGTGGGACAGAATCAACCCCTTAAGGCGTATTGCAAAAATGATGGATGCATGAAGATCTCGAGGATCATTCGGTATGCAGTTGTATTGGATTTTTTTACGGGATTTTCAACTCACTGTCGTGTACGGATTGTAGGTGGAAAAACCTAGTCACCCGCGTTAAACTGTGCGTCTTTGCAGTAGTCTACGGTCAAACATACCACATTTTACATTCCACAGTAAACATTTGACAAGAAATGGGCCAATGAAAAGACTTTGTCTCTCGGAAATTAGACAGCGTACGGGCGTGGTCAAACTGCAACAAAGAAATAGGTTTTCCATAAATTAAAGAACTAGTGTTTAAATCTACTGTAAATATGCCGACACAGAAAACCATCGTTATTGATATGTGTAGAAACGTAGTTACTATTTAAAATGCTATTATCAACCCTTTCTTCTAATATTACATTTAAAGCGAAATTGGATTGAATTCTACGCTTGAGCAATCTAGGCTTAACTTTGAGTGATAAATTTAAAATTTGCAGTTACCATTCACATCACAAATATAGAAATATCGTACTTACCCCAATTGAAAGGCGGATTTTCCATTTAGCTTAGCGATTCGTGTTAAGCCAAACCGAAATGGAATCGGTTTAATCTGATCAGCACTTAAAAGTGGAAAGAAAGTTTTCAGGGCGGCAATTAATAATACAAACTTTTTAATATACTACAATATTGCTTTTGATCCTCTTCAATATAAAGCTCATTAAAGATTTCTCGTTATAAAATTATTAATTTTCAAATCTTTGTTTCAGATATGGAATTGAGAAGGTGGCGTGGCACATTAAAATTTTATTTCTTACTATTACTGCTAACGTGCGCCTTGGCGAAATTGAAAAAGGAAAGGGAGAGGAAGAAGGTGGTGAAAATGAAAAGTGAAAGTGATAATTTGTGCACTATCGTGGGCACCTCGGCGCCTTTTCATTGTTTTTGTAGCGACGGCAGCGCGTCAAACGCGACGAAAGCGAAGTGCTGGGTGTTTAGTGGACTAACAGCCGAGCATAGCTTTTGGACACTATTCTCAACGCAACCGTTTATACGCGAACTTAATCTGATGGTAACTCCAATGGGTCAATTAAATTTCCTACCTACGTCGGGGTTGCAGTACTTGACGCAATTACAGACGTTAACAATCCTGTACGGAAACATAAGCGACATTCACGCTTATGCCTTGGCCAACTTAACAAAGGTTCACGAAGTAAGGCTCGCGAAAAATCAAATAATAACTTTGAGCCAACGTGCGTTTGCCCACTTGACGAACCTGTCCGTTTTGGACTTGGAGGAAAATCGAATAGTAGAACTTAACCGAAACGTGTTCTTTGATCTACCGCTTTTAAGTAAGCTGTTGCTGAAACTAAATAATATAAGTGCGATTCAAGAGGGTGCTTTCAGACAGTTAGGGCAGTTAGTGGAGCTCGATCTTAGTGCTAACGCGATTAGTGTATTAACAAAGGACGTTTTTGCTGGACTACTAGAGCTGAAGAAATTGTTTTTGAGATACAATAAGATCGTTATGCTGGGTGATCTTACGTTTGCGGAGCTCTGGATCTTGGAGGTAAGCTATACACTACTGTATGCCTCCAAATTGACCTTATTTCACATTTAAAAACTTGCACGAGGAAAATTAGTTGATTTAATATAAAGGTGCAAGGAGTTTCAAGTGAAATTCTCGAACCAAAATCGCATAACGTGAATATTTCTTAACGTTGCATTTAGATTCAATTAAGTATGATCAAAATCAATTGGAAGCGGAAGTAGCTTTCTATTTCAGGTGGCGACACAATCGTTTAGCTAGACTCTAGAGCTTCAAATTTTACCTACAATTTGAAGTAGAACGTATCTGGGCGTAGCGTTGCTTTGACATGTTAGCCAGAAAGCTTGTATTTGGTATTTCATGATTAAGCGCATTAGTTACACCTTCCTGATTTTCGTTTCAACTATAGTACATCTATATCATTAAATATTAAGTACACGAATATTATACATTATACATTTGAATAGTAACCCATTAACTTACGTAAGGTCGATAAGAATATTAGATCAATGAGACCACCAAGAGCTTACTGTGCGTACTTAAAGTTTTGCTGTAATACTGTTTCTTAGATTTATAATGAAGTTCGTGAAGTAGAGCAGATTAATGTATGCTCAAAAATTAATTGACCCAGTTGTGCCACGCCTGTTGCATTTTAGAATTGGGGAGTAAATCAATAGTCTCTCACACATCCCCCATCTATCTGCTATACAAGTGACCGAACTTTCAATTACGGTTTTTGAGCAATATCTCGTTGTAGACAATGTGTCGTGGTTACGTTGTAATACCTACAATTATTTTTTAATTATATTTCGACCTAGTCTCAACAAATACACTATACAGTCTTTAAATAAAAAATATTCAAACGTATACTGCCCGTTTTTTAGTTCCGCTGAACGTCGACCACGTCAAATTCAAGAACATTTACATTTGGTAAAAGTCAAATAAATACTGCTGTGTTATTTCGTCTAGCAGGATGAAATTTTCGGATATCTTAATTAAGATAGACAAGGGCGGTCTCATTTTGTGTAATTAACATTCATAATTAAATTTTATTATTTGTCGTTGGTCTATGTAACAGCAGCGAGATTATTGTCATACGAGAAAGCGGTTAAGGTTGTTTTTGTTTACATTTTTATTTTATTTAACGTAGAAATTTCTGAGAATTTTGTATTGGTATTTATCTGTTATCAATTTATTATAAATGCTTAATTGTGATTTAGTGATTTATCGCCTTCTCTGTGTAGTTAAAGGAGATGAATTTTTATTTTCCTAGAAATTAAGTTTGGATTAATCTCTTAATGTCTGATAAGAATTTGTTTAGTAGAATTTATTCGACCTCTATTATTTTGGTCATTTGACGTAAGTTGATGGGATATTTTCTGTTGTCAACTGTGTATGATTGGTTGTTATAATTTTGATTTTCGGAGGAAGGGTTTTCGCTTTAAATAAGACGTGAACAGGGATAGCGTCGCTTATCGATTAATTTATTTTTTCCAACACCTACATTGTTTTATTGAATTTAATCCCTAATTTTTGTGCATTAACAGGTAATTTTAATCCCTAGGGAAAATATTTTAATCCCTCATTTTTGTTTTCTTGTAAACAATTCATGGAAAAATGGATCTAAATCGGTCGGTATTGGAAAAAATAGTATAAGCAACACTGGATTAAACTAGTTTTTGTTCCCTTAAAAATATTAAAGCCTTCGTCAAGCCTCGGGCTTTCTAAGAACGACCCATTTTGAACCTGAGGTGATCCCCAAACGGCAGTGAAACTGTTTACGAAATAGTTATTTATGCATCAAGGGCATTAAGGCGATATTTATGCCGAGGGCGACGGAGCCCGAGGGCCTCTGGCCCGAGGGATTGTAAGTCGCACGAGGGTTAAATCTCGGGTTAAATATTGAGTAATGCCTGAGGTGAATACAACATTTTATTTTTCATCGTCCCAAAGAATGCATTTCCAATATACAAATGTCATGATTATTGTTTGCCCAACATTAAAGTGCTTCATACGAATCAAGTTGCATCTTTTTTTATTACATAATATAACTCCGTCAATCAGTTTGACAGGCCGTTTGAGGGCATAATGAGATGACAATCCATTATGCCCTCTCATTATGCCCTTGGGCATAATAGACTGCTTCATATATCACATATGACAGATATAATTGACTTATAATAGGCAAATGAAAAATAAAATTGGTTTACGGCCACCCTCGAATTGAATGATGCCTACTTACCCTTCATGCTAATCTGTCACCTGCTCTGTTACCAGCATACGCAAAGGAAAAAATTGAATCCTTCATGCACAATATTTTGGAAACTAACCTCCTAGCTAACCTCATTCTAGAATTCTTTTTTAAAATTCTTTAGCTTTGAGGTTCTTCTTCAGTAGAGGTACCAGAGTTTCATCAAGAGTGTCTATCAGATTTCAATCTTCAGGAAGTAGATAATTTCAAAATATATAAACAAAAATATATTTCTACATTGGTCATCCTGTGGCTTCCATATACACCTTTGACCTTATTATAAGTGTAATTAAAAAAGAAACACATTCCCATAACCCTGTAGGTATGTTTATAATAATCTATATTCTTTATTTGTCATTCCACCAATCCTTGGCTTCGACACGTCATTGACACATAGCATCCAATAAAAAAAATAAAAAATATACATATATATCTACATAAAATAACATAAACAAATACAATGATACATGCAAGTACCTAATATCACAACAATAAAATTATTCATTAACATTAGTAAATTTTTTTAAAACAGTAATTAAAGAGAATAAATAGAAGGTATTTTACAATAAATCACAGGGTGTGTTTAGGTATGCGCTTACAGAGTAAAAGCAGCGGTTCAGAAGATGGTTCTTAATAGTATTTTTAAACTCATTGAATTGTTGACATTTAGCAGTATCTGGAAGATAGTTGTACAATTCAACTCTTGGACTATTATTTTTTGATTTGCTTAATCTGTAATAAGGAACCCTTATATTTTTTGAGCCTCGAGTACCGTAACTATGAGCGAAGTCATTTGTTGCAAAGTGACGCTTGTTTTTATGTATATCCAATAATGTTGCGTACATGAAAATACATGCTAGCGGCATGATACGTAATTTCTTGAAAAATGGTTGACAATGAGCAAGATATTCGGCTCCTACTATGATACGAATTTTTTTTTTTTGCAATATAAATATCTTGTTTACTTTGGAGGAATTCCCCCATAATGTTACACCATACTGTAGGTGGGAATGAACCAAAGAAAAATAACAGGATCGTAAAGTATTCATACCGACTGCTCGCTTCAAATCCCTTAATACAAACAATGACTTGGACAATTTACAAACTACGTGATCGATATGATTGTTCCACGTTAATTTGTTGTCTACATACGCTCCTAATACCTTAGCGCACTTCCCGGAGGTAACCTTGTTGTTCGTTGAAAAAGTCACGATATGCGTTTTATTTTTATTTAGTTTTAGGTTATTGCTAATGAACCAGGCTTCTTGTAATAAATTTTGACTTTTGGCGATTGCTATTTTAAATCTTTGTCCGATACGAGTAACGAAGTGTCGTCAGCATAAACAATACAGTGATTCGGGTGCATATAAGTAAAAAAGTCATTTGTGTACATAATAAACAATAATGGTCCTAAGATAGAGCCTTGAGGAACTCCATTCTTCGTATAAATTAATTCGGATTGAACGCCATCTACAAAAACACACTGTTTTCTATTATTAAGATAAGATGAAAGTAATGTTCCAGCAAGCCCTCTAATACCATATAGATGTAGCTTATCCATTAAAATCTTAAATGAAACGCAATCAAACGCTTTCGATAAGTCACATAAAATTAGTGAAGCCTGTTCTCCTTTCTCATAAAGTTGAATAATTGTAATTATCATCTTAGAAACAGCTTGTGTGGTGGAGTGATTTTTTCGGAACCCGTATTGACCGCGATCAAACATGTTATTACATTCAAAATAATTATAAAGTCTCCTGTTTAGTATTATTTCAAAAATTTTAGAGAAGATTGGTACAATAGTGATTGGTCTATAGTCTAATGCAAGGGGAATAGTAAAACACTCCATACAGTATTGACTCTGAAGGAATTTTTTTTATGTATGTACTCTAAAACTTAACAGATAATAATGTGCGAACATTGGTGATCCCTCGTTTATCATAACGTATTATACCATCTTATACAAAACATTTGAAAGAATCTTCTTGCTACTTATAAATCTGACTATTATAATTCAATAAATAATCGTATAATATAACAATGTAAAACGGCAAATTGATTTATGATGGGAACGGTGTTTTATTCGCTTCAATATTTTATATCCCCAGCACGTGCCCATCACAATTTCGACGATGACAGTTTGCCTTATGACAGTCTACCTATAGGTATCTAGAGCGAGATACGCCGCACGATAAATAAAGATTATTGTGTTCCTCTCGTCTCTCGAACAGTAAAACATAATACAAAATGAAGCTGGGGCATTCCCTCAATCCTTTATTTTTAGATTTGAGTCTAGTTTAATTAAACAGTACTCAAATGCCGAACAGCGTTAATCACAAATTTTGCGAACAAAAGTCCTCTACTTATACAGTTTCAAGTTTAATTAAAGAAATCTGATTCCATACTAACTTGCCTTTTGTGCCATTAATTTAAATTACTGTTTGAGTAAATTGATATTTCATATATAATGGATATCTGAAACTTATTTTTATTCTTTTGAAATCTTAACTTTTAATAATTATAACTGGGAAAGGAATAATTCTGCCCTCTGTTTTAAGCATAATAACATTCTGGATGTCTTCAGAATTAGAATGTGTCCCGAAGCTATTTCGTCTGTACTATAGCAAAAGTAAATATTTAGCTTTTCAGCACATTGGAAAAGGTATAACATATTTACAAAATAAAGCCGTTTTCTCTTTGTGCTCGGATCTTGGTCTCAAAAAGGCGATATTTATGTGATAGGTTGTAGACACCCTATACGTCGAATCTAATATTGAAAATCGTTGGAGTGTACTTATTCATTACCTTGTTACAGGAACTGGACTTGGAAGGAAATCTTATCGAGCTCATCTCCGATCGGGCATTCGCCGGTTTGACACATTTATTCAAATTGAACCTGAGTTACAACAAATTGAAGACCTTGCGAAGCAATCTATTGGATAGTGTTCCTGCAATTATGGACTTCGATCTTCGCCACAACGAGCTCGAAACATTAACTTTGGACAACGTGAAGCCCATTCTACATAACTTTCACAACGGAAATGGTCACTTCTATCTTGCTGGTAAGTTTCGGAAAATTGCGTAAGTAGGTCTTGCGAATATTATATTCGAATATTGAATACTGACCCCACGTAGTGCTTCTCTGAACTTTGCTTTAATATAAAAAGGACAACCGAATTTCCCTTTTTTAACAACTAAATCGATACGTTATTGATTATATCCCAGCACGGCTTCCCACATTCTCCGCTTTCCACTTAGTCATCCCAATCAAAGTTTATAATAAACAACAAGTTAAAGTTGATCATAGTTTCGTACGGATGGTTTTAGGCGCCCAATATCGGATATTCTGTAAATTAACTTTCGTAATAAACGTCTGGTTTGCTATTTTGATGCTATTAAAGTTAGTTAGGAACTGACCGACGATTTTTTATTACCGAAGGCATTTTGATCTACAAGCACCCGCTTACAAGATAATTACAATGGCTCGTGATGTTGCTTTCCCATTTTCGGATGAAGTTTACTATACGATTTTCAACACAAATTAGTTGGATCACAAGTTCGTTCGTTGGTCTAATATAAGTTTATACCAATGAATCGACGCCATAGATTGGTAATGGAGGGATTGTTACACTGGGGTATCGAATATAGTTATTTTTGTTGGGGATAATAATTCCCATGAAGTTTTATTAAAATCAAACATTTGATTTTTTAGACCATTCCGTTTCATCACGGAGAACCAGTTTTTTTGATGTTTACGTCTCTTTCATTTAACATAACGTAACGTAAATTATACAGTGAAACTTCAAGCGCTACATAAAGCGCCAAGAATTCGGTTTATTCATAGTTTCGTTAGTCTCGCAAGTATTAAATTTAACGTCGTTGTCATCCTGTGTTATTGATTCCCTGTCAAAATCCATTCAAGGTAAGAATCTAGAATGGGCTTTGCTTTTTCACATTTCTATTTATAATCGGATCTTTAACAGGAGAAATCTACCTGTTTCACAAACACTTCAGTTATGGATGAAAACGGAGCTCGACAAGTTTTTCTATTTAGAAGGAAAAGCTCACCTTCTGGAACTGTTAATATTGTTGTGTAAACAAAGTCATGTAGACGTTATTTCGGCCTAAACACCAAAAGTATTGACAGAACATGCTGTATATAAGAGTTTTCAATTTATTACGTAAATCTGGGGGAGTTTTGGTTGGCTTCATTTGAAATTGTATCTCAGTGTTTTTTTTCCTTATAGAAAGTTGGTAAATGTATAATTCTTGTTTAAATTTTATCGCTTTTATAATGAGATAACGAGTAAATAAAGCTGCTGCTAGTTTTCGCGATGGTAAATCTTTTTTACGCTAAATTACAGAGAGTCAACCCTATTTGTTTTGTTAATGACGCAGTTCGTCATTTTTTTATAATGGATGTGTGCAGTTAACCAAAGTTGTGTGAGAAGTGTAACGCATATTGTCGGATTACGGAAAAATTTCTGTCGAGTTGAAAAAGCAAGCAGCTGTAGTACAGCGAGGTCCTTTGTTAAGGTTATCTTGTTTTATTAAAAGTTAAAGGTTTCTACCGCCCCAACGGCCACCGATAATTTGATCAAGTTATTCATCAAGCCAGTTTTGTTTGTTTATCTGATTCTGTGTTATAAATCAAAGTGGAGTTCAGAAACTGTCGGCGTTTACCCCTTATATCGCAAACATCGTACCAGATTCTTGGATTTTTGAGAAAAAACTGTAGGTGGCTTTAAGATTGCTTATTTTGTCTGTCGCCGCCTGAGTGTGGGGTCATACTTCTAAACAAGCTTTGTAAGCATTTCATTCTTTCATTGATTTCCTTTTATTTTTCTTATGTGTTTCGAAACACACTTTTATAATTGTTAATCAATTAATTGTGTGTTTATTCGAATCCATTGTGCGACCCGAATAGAGTTTTTCATGTCATATTTTTTTTCGAGTTTTTTTTGGTTAGCTGGGCAGGTGTCTTTGTCCTTTAATATGTTAACTAAAAAAATTGATTCTTAGACAATTCAGTATTAAGATGGGGTGCACCAGTAGTAGCAGCGATTCTGACTGGGAAGAACATCTAGAAAACGTGACGGTTTTTTTATAGAGAGAGAAATTCCACCGAATTTTGTGGGTAGATAGCAACACAGAAGAAAAATGGTAAACGGTGGGAGTCTTATTCCAAAACCTAGCCTTTATAAATTCCACATGTATTTTCGAATGAACCGCGAGGAATTTGAGTTTGTAGATCATAAAAGATGAAATTGCAAAGAAAAATATAGCAATGCATTTGCACAAACAGAAACGGGACAGACACGAACCGACACGTGTTTCAAAAATTTGTAAATTTTTGACATCTGCGTACACACAATTGACGCGGGTGTAGTTGGCAGTGTGTCTTGGCGTGGCGTGTGCTACAAGCTACATCATCCCACACTTTTGTAAAGTGGCGCGGAGTGGCATGTTGTGGGGTGGCGTCGCGTACCGTGTTGCACGTGTGTTTCTACCTTAACGCGTAATTCTTGGAAACACTCTCTTAACAGCGATAAAACGCGTGCGTTAATTAAATTGCGCCTGATAACTCCTTCTTGGAAAACAAACACATAAAACCTCGTATAAAGTCCGCATAATTGACCCGATGTGTCTTACTTAAAGCATCCTATCTAAATTGAACAAACTAAAAAGCGTTAAATTAAAACGAAACATTACACAATCACAATGTTTCTACATCTCTATTCCTAAAAAGAACGAAAAATACGAAAATACAAATTCAAATAAAATAAACCAACTTTGTGCGTACGTTCGTTGTACGCACTAATACTATACTCTCTAGTACATCTTTTGTTCAGAAAATAAGTAAGGTCTGATTCAAATTCGTGGTGTCCAACCAGGATTCTTTAAATTTCCCAAATAAAGTCATAAATTTCGAAATAGTGTCAAAAATTGAGACAGAATTTGAGTCTCCACACCCGAAAAATTGTGAATCTCTTAGTATTAGGTATTTTTATTAGGGCTTTTAAAGCGTTGGAGCACATAACAATTAAGAAATGCTTTTCGCTGCTATAAATTGTAGACTTTTTATCGCGTTTGCAGAAGGTCTCATTTTGCATACTGAAATAAAGTTAACGGCCCGTCTCTCACATGCGTTTTTATGCTTTAGTCGATATTGTAAATTGCAGGAGATGGTGGGAAAGTTTTTGCATTCCTGTTATAATACGACAAAAGTTTATCGCTCGAAAGGTTCTTTGAAATTTTAAATGAAGTTCCCTAAAGAAATTAAAGTTTAAATTACGTCACAATAAACATTATTTGTTGTTGATTAAACCTTTATTATTCAAATTAGATTTGTAGTTTTTGCCATTCACAAAGTTTAAAGAGTTTATAGAAATTGACTTGCTAATAACTTTAACTTCCAAGAGGAACTCGATACGATACGTCACTTTGGAAAAAATAAACGTATTCATCTCCGTAATTAATGTATGGTCAACGTTCAGTTTACAAAACGAATTGAAAATCGAAAGTTTGCTACAAATGGATTAACCCCTGAATGATGGCGTATCGGTTCCGCTTTATGTTTGTAAACTTCAGAAAGGTCGCTTCCTATACGACATTCTATATTCGTAAACATGTGCTTCAATATGTCCAAAGCAGCAAATATGTTGGCTTTATGTTTCGGGGATCCGATAGCCTCGCATTCCCATGAGAAAGAAATCAAAATGCTCTACGTCTGGTTCTTTCCGAAAAAGGAAGGAAATTAAAATGTTATTTTCAAAATTTATTGCCTCGAATCAGAAATTAGAACAAACAATCTTTTTTAAGACTCTTTGGTCATTAACCTAAAGCACACGCGAATTGATAATTAACAGTAAGGCACGACTATTTTGTTACAATTTATAGTATTTTAATTGTTGCTTCCGATTCTGCTTCATTTTCAAAGGACTTCGTCATGTTCTGCTGCGATTAACTTTGGAATGATCGCAAAATTAATTAAAAGCACTACAACAGGGGGATATTATTTTCAAGGCCTTGATTAAATCACGTTTAAAACCATCTTTAAGGGAGTGTCGTATAATACTAAGAAAGTTATTTGTCTCGCAGTAGAATCTATCTACTTTATGGGCTAATTTTTTTATAAATTAAGCAAAAAAAAACGAATACTAGTTCGATTTTGCAAAAAATTCGGCCATTTTGTGCAAAAGCAAAAAATATCCCTAATTTGACGAGAACAAAAAAAAACACTTTTAGCTAATCTCCATGTATTTGGCCTATTCGACTCTTTACCCGAATAGAATTTACAATCTGTTCCAGATATCGTACGTTAGCACAAAGCTTTTCCCTTTCTTTTACTACATACGTAGTGTTTTATGAAAAAAAAAGTGCACGATCCTGCTTTTCATAACGACCCATTTCAAAGATAAAGGAAATGAAATTGTTTCAATTCAAATGAACTTGCCATAAACGAAGTGTGGTGTGTGCACGTTTTTCATCCGCCATAAAACGATTACGTGTCTATCCGCGACTTTTCTGACACAATAGATTAGCATACAAAGTAAAGGTCGCCCTTTGGACATTTCCATAACTTCGTAATGATCTCCGCAAATCTTTGTGAGAGGAAAATGTAAATTAAAGTTGACTTAACAATATTGATCTAGGAGTAATGAAAGGAGAATATTCGAAATTAAAACTTTCTGTGTGTGAAGCGCAGTAGCTCTAGCGTCTTTATTACGTTTCAGGGTTTAAAAAAAAAACAGAAAGCTCATCTTCAAAGTAACTAAAAGCAACTCTCTAAAACATTTAAGCAGAAATAAAGAGTTAGCGTGACACTTCCTAGAAAACTTTAAACCTCTCTTGGCTCCATTTTCTGAATATGTAAATGTAAATTCAGAGACGGTTGCAGTCCCGCTTAATGATTATACGCTAACTTTTCTCTCCGTTAATTTACGCAGTATACCTATGCAATAAATCCGTACGATTTCCTCTTGCGACTTTTGATATCGAAATTGGAAATAGGTAATGCAATTCCAATTCAACTTGGAAAATCATAGTTATGAATATGAAA